ACGACACGAAAAAAATACACGACATGAAACGAAATTGGGATTTTCGAATTCGTGTTCGTGTCATCTTCGTGTTAAGTGTAAAAAACACGATGTCGTTTCTCGTCGCGTTTATATTCAAAATTAGACACGATTTACCATTTCTTTGTCGTTTTGTTGTGTTATATATGATTAAATATTAACTAGTTTTTAGTTTATGTTCTATTTGTCGTGTTGTGTCGTGTGTGTTGTTTTTTAATTCGTTCATTTTAATGTTAGTTAAAAAAACACGACATCGTGTCGTGTCGTGTTCGTGTTCGTGTTACCTAAAATCTTGTCATGTATTGTCAGACAAAAACACGAAACAATAACACGATTTGCCACCCCTAGCTGCAGGATACGGATCTAAGTAAGTTTTACTTCATTTTCATGTTTTTAGTACAACTAATTGTTAAACAGTTGAAATTTAGGGTTTTTAAAGCTAAAAATGTTTGATCTTTTAGCTCATTTGAGCTGCGATCCGGTATAAGGTAATGGTTGAGCTAATTTTCATGGGTTCTTGTTTGGGCTTACTGAGTTATTCATTTAACCAAAAATTTCATACCTAAATCTTGTTGACTGTTTATGAAAATTCTAACTCGTGATTATGTTTAGTTGTTGAAATTTGGTTGCGAACTTGTAATCAATCTTACTGTTATATGTAAATTCAACTCGTGTCGTTGATCAAGCATGCATTTTAAGTAGTTATTTACTAAAGCTTGAGTTATCACAAGGTTTCCCAATGTATAATTGTATTAAGGGGGGTGTTTGGATAAATTAGATTATAGCTTATTAGCTTATTGCTTATTAGCTTATTTGCGGTGGGAATAAACACTAAGCAATAAGCAAGGAGGAGATGTTTATTGAAATCAGCTTATTTAGTTTATCCTTACCACAATAAGCTGATTTTTAATGATTCCTATCCAAACACTTAAACTTAACTTATTATGATGGAAATAAACAATACGCAATAAACACCCTATTTTTTTCTATATCCAAACACTCCCTAATTAAAGTTCCATTAGAGGACAACTCAAATGCCTAAATAGTTATCATATTTGATTTTTAAATTATAAACAATACTTAAATGTAACTTTTGTATATTTTTAAATTATAAACAATACTTAAATGTAACTTACTTAAATGTAACTTTTGTATATTTTTAAATTATAAACAATACTTAAATGTAACTTTTGTATGTTAGTGAAAGTTATTGAGCTATAAGTACAAGTTCTACATATATGTCGATGCATCTCATTCAACTTCAACCCCTCAATTTTGTATAATTCGTAACTCTTTTATTTTGTAAATATTATTTTCATCCACTCAGCTTTCTCTACTTTGTAAAATATATTTTCTACCCCTCTGGTTTTTAAAATGTTACTTTCACCCCCTCCCTCCCTCAACTTTAAACTTTATAAAATATCACTCTTACCACCTCTATTTTCTAAACTTTCCTGTTTATCCCACGTAATATATATAATTTGATTTTTTTAATAACTTTCGCTTGTTAACATAAAAAAAATATCTTTTGTTATGGATGTGTTTGTATAAATTAAAGGTGATCAACGTTTGGATGTATTCAAATTCGAGTTTGTCTACGTTCCGACTTAATTTATTTTATTATTTTATTATCTTTTATGTCTTGGTGTTTATTTTTATGTATACTTCCTATATATGAGTCAGATCATATATAATACATTTTTTATTATTTAAAATTTCATTTGTTAATTAAAGAGAAAAATCTACATTGTGGCTGCCTCGATGTGCGGTCGGACAAATTATGGTATATGTATTACAATGCAAGTCGGGCCAAAATGATTATAAATAACGATAAGAAAGTTAATTTACAAAAAAAAAAAAAAAAAAAATCAAATACGTGTTATAATTGTCCTATCTAGGATTGTCATACATATTCCAAAAATCAATTTTTTTTTCTTTTTAAAATTTTTTTTTTACAATGTTGGGATGAAGGAGACGGAAGTCAAAAGAGGTTTATTCTTTTTTCCTTTAGGCTTCGAGCCTTGGACTTGTGTTTGCTGTTGCTGAGAATCACAAAAGCACCAACTTACAATTTGTGTTTTCTTTAATTTAAAATCAATTTCGTATTGTACCCCATTATCCCATGATAAGTCTAACACGGTGCCCCACTTTTCTTATGTAAAGATCTTAGTCCATATATCATCGTGGGCATTTTCTTACTAAACCAATATAAACCTTACATTTCATGTACAAAGTTGGAGATCACTGGGACACCTGCCCCTATAGGTGGAGAAGAAGCATAAACATGGTGTGAGTTTATTTGTAATTTTCTTTATTTTTTTATTAAAAAAACCACATCATTAGGTGTAAATATATACAAATAGTTATATGACATATTAAACCTATCGTATTAGGTTAGGTTATGGTGACTAAATAAAAAGGTCATGACCCACTTTTTTCTATAGTTATATGCAAGAAAAAAACTTAAACGACCATTTAAACCATTTCGAAAAAAATTGTTGGGTTGAAATAATATTATCCCAAACATAAAATAATATATTGGGTCAATATAAAAGAGGAGGTTGGGTCGGGCTCAAGGAACCATGACCCAAATAGTTTTATGCAAGTCAAAATGTCAACCATACGAATTGTCCAATTGCAGAGTATATCTCCTGAAAATTCCCCTTTTCATTCCTCTGTTTTCTCCCTCTTGACTCATTGGACATAATACAGGCATCGTGATTGACCCCTAAGATCTAGTACTCTCTTATGAATTATGATCCTTCCATTTATTCCAAAACCGTCAAATATGATCACGATCCTCAATCTTCTCGGTACGAAATCATCAATCTTGTAAGGATCTATGTATCTTGACACCATTTACGTACATGGATTTCAAAGTTGTTTGCTTTTTCCATGTTTTTGTGTAACTAGATAGATACATTCTACATTCCCATTTGAAGGAAACATGGAAAGTGGTTATGCGCCCGTTCCCAAAGAATCTTTTGTCGAATTGCAATTACAAGACAATCAAATTTACGGATCTCAAAACCCTACATTTTCCGAAAACAATACTTACCCCGAATTCATCCATGATGAGGATGGAGAAGGGTTTGTAACACATCGAATTGATTACTTGGAAACCGGTGTTCTTGATGACGACATCGATATCGATTACGATACCTCACACCTTACAGAAAAATCCTCAAATTCTGGGGTCTACGGCGCCGTATTTAATCTAACCACAACTGTAATCGGCGCCGGAATCATGGCATTACCCGCCACCATGAAAGTTCTTGGTTTGGTTGTCGGAGTTATTTTGATTTTCGTAATGGGTATCCTCTCAGAAATCAGCGTCGAATTACTCGTTCGATTCACTGTTCAATGCAAAGCTCTGTCTTATGGAGAAGTCGTTGAACAAGCATTAGGTAAACCAGCTAAAATCTTGTCAGAAATCTGTATCATTCTCAACAACGCTGGCGTTCTAGTCGTTTATCTAATCATCATGGGCGACGTAATGTCGGGTTCCCAAAATCACGTCGGAGTTTTCGATCAATGGTTAGGCGAAGGCTTCTGGGATCACAGAAAGCTACTCATTTTAATCGTTTTAATCCTTTTTCTCGCACCCCTTTGCGTATTAGACAGAATCGATTCATTAAGCCTAACTTCAGCTGCTTCAGTAGCATTAGCAGTCGTCTTTGTAGTCGTTGCTTTTGGTGTCGCGTTTATCAAACTCGTTAGAGGCGAAATCGAACCTCCAAGATTGACACCCGATTTTGGATCAAAAAAAGCAATTCTTGATTTACTAGTTGTGATTCCAATCATGTCAAATGCATTCGTTTGCCACTTCAATTTACAACCCATTTACAACGAACTTGAAGGACGTTCACCTCAAAAGATGAATAGAATTGGTCGAATCACAACAGTGCTCTGTATATTAGTCTACTGTTCAACCGCCATTTCAGGGTACCTTCTCTTCGGAATCGAGACAGAATCAGATGTTCTTACGAATTTTGATAAACCACTTGGGAAAGAATTCAGTAACGCTATAAATTACATAGTTCGTGTTGGATATATTCTTCATTTGGTTCTTGTTTTTCCGGTGATACATTTTTCTTTGAGACAAACAGTGGATGCATTAGCTTTTGAAGGGTCAGCTCCTTTACATGAAAGTAGAAAAAGGTGTTTGGGTTTGACATTTACACTTTTGGCCCTTATATTTTTAGGGTCTACTTCGATTCCAAGTATTTGGACAGCGTTTAAGTTTACAGGGGCAACGACAGCTGTCTCTTTGGGGTATACTTTTCCTGCTCTTATTGCTCTTAAATTAGGTGGTCAAGGGCAAGGGTTGACCAACAGGGAAAGGGTTTTTTCATGGTTGATGTTGTGCTTTGCGATTATGGTTAGTGTTGTTGGAGTTGTGACTAATATTTATAGCATGCAAAGCGATTCTGATTGAGTGGTTTTTGGAGAAATTAAGGTTAACACTTGTGATGATGCTGGATTTTGCTTCTAGAAGGATGATTTTTGGGCGGGAAAAGGTTGATTATGTCATGGATTAAGGAAATTTAATCATCTCTGGTTACTCAAGACCCCCATTTTTTCTGGGGTTATTGTAAGCTTGTAATACATGATAGTTGCTAATCATAATACATAAATTCAGTATTTTTATGCTTCTGTAATTGTATTTTGATTTTGTATTTGAGGTTAGAAAAGATTTTAAGTTATTTTTTTGTTGTAGACTGAAATGAGTTCTTAATTTTGCTGGCGTAGGCCTTGTGGATATTAGGAATTTAGGACCCCAAAAGGTTTTCATGATATGTTCTTAAAAGACGTTTAGAATATTTTTAAAAGTCTGTGTTGAGTATCTGATTTACTACTTATAAAATGGGTTTGAGCTCTTTGTTATGGGCTGGTTGTGTTTCGGGGATTCAGGCTTTTGGGATTTGGGATAAATAAAATAATAATCAATGAAAACCCAAAATCAAGATTATAACCAGCAAAAAACTTGGATCTTGGAATCTTGAATTTAATTAGCTTCTTATTCAAGGCTAATGATCTCGAGGTAGTTAGTAATTGTGGCATTGAATGTAGATACTCATTTTTAAAATCATAGATCCCGGTGCATATATCATAATTATATAACTAATTCTCATAATGAGTCTTGATCATGATGTATGTCTCTCCTATTATGACTAGTGAACAATTTAGTGAAAAGCTTCTTTTCTTTTCTTTGTAGAGAAGGTAAGAAAAAGGGAGAACTAAACCTATGAATCATGTTGTGCAACATTTTAATTATAGATTTTGGTAATTTGGGTTTGTAAGATCATGATATCTTTAAGGTCCCACAAAAAAAACATAATTATAACTTATAAGTCTATAAATGAAAAATACATCTACAACATTTCCTTTTTATTTTTAAGAAATTTTAAAAAACTTCAAAACATTAGTCATGCACAAATATCATCTAACCATTGAATATAACAAATGGTGTCAGTGGCGAGTCTAGAACGTAAAATCACATGGTTCAATATTTAAATAAAACTGATAGAAAATGAAAAATATCAAAAAAATACTACTTGTGGTTCCGGATCGGGCCGGGTCGTATAAGAAAAATAAATGATTTAAATTTCTTACAATTATACCCGAAGATGTCTTATATCTTCATATTTTCACAATTTTATCACTATTAATATTTTCTAAGACATTTTTTTTCAATATATGATACCAAATAGGCGCAATTTGACCAACGATTGTGAAGGATCGATGCGCCAAGTGTCCTGTGAAACGTGATTTTGTTGGTTCATGTTTGTTTCTTTTTTATTTTTTTAATTTGGTTTGTATTGGGCTATGCATATTATATTATGCCTTAAAAAAATTTGGGCTATTAAAATATAGAATATAGGCCTTAAAATATGATTTATACTCTTTCTTTTTACCAAAAGAAAAATAAGGTAGTTCATTAAAAAATGATTAAGGCAGGATTATATATGAACTATTATAATAAAAATAAAATAAGGTAGATCAAGTGACCTACCTTGTTAACATGTAGCCTCGCCATTGAATCGTGCATACATATCATTGTCCTTTTCTAAATCCAAAATACATTCTCCCAAAAATCTCTTACATTACAAGCACTTGCATTAATAAAAACATAACATGTAAAAATAAAAGCAAAAGAAATTATAACAAGCAACATGCTCTTGTGACAACTAGGTGTTTACCCACGCAAAACAACGACGATAAATAATTTCATTTGAGTAATAATGTTTTTTCAAAAACATATCATATATCGAATGATATGTCGCGGAAGTATATTATTATTATTGGTCAGTTACGCATTTGTTGAATGCGTGTACATAAAAAAGTATACATAAACTTGATTTTTTTTTCTGATTGCAAAAAGGAGCAATATTATTTGTTTTTAGTTTATTAAAACATCCTTATAATTTTTATAGGATATTGTATTTTTCAGTTTTTCCTTATTAAAAACATAGTATTTATGAAATATACCAAATTATTGCAGTGTAGTTTCAATCACGTAGAGTTAGATAATTACCAAACAATCAATGACACCTTATTACAAACAACTTTAAGTATACTGTTATTATGAAAATATATATACATATATAACAAATTGGAATATACATTGCCATTACATGTCAAGCTCACTAAATTCACCATCTCAGTAGAAATTGCCGATTGTTACCGCCAGCCAGCCAATCTCGATGAAAACTACTTTGGTCGACTACCCACACAATGGGCAACAAACTAACCCCTAAAAAGAAACAGCCTCTAGCGACTATTATTTATAGGCAGCACAGTCAATGGTGAGGATGTTAGATCTAGGATTTTTAAACATCATCGCCGCCACCAGATCTTTTCCGATAGTGCTTGTTTGAAGCTTCGATGGTATAAGGTTGTGCAGGGGATGAAATGGAAGCGGTCACAAGTAGTGGTGGTTTCTAAACTCCAACATAACAGAGAAAAGAGAGATATACAATGGAATGTTGATTGGTGGTGGTGTTTTTACCTGTAAACATTATAAGAAGGATTCGATCTGACGATGGTGGTGGTGACTGGGGAGGAGGCGGTCCAACAGTGGTTGTGATGATTGGGTGATGATATCCAAAAAATTTTATCTACCAAATATTTATACAAAATTAGAAGGTTTGGGGTGAGTGAGATTTTTTATTTAAAATAATGAGAAAAAAAAAATTAAAAGAATTACAAAAAAACTAAAGGACATATTCGTAATTTCAGGTTAGATATGGACCAAAACAAAAAAAAAGTCAATCATAAGGACCAAAACCACACAAGATATCCAAATTTGGACCACTAATACACCACTAAACTTTTTTGGACCAAAATCACAATATTTTCACCACCACACAGATCATTGTTGCAATTTTGTCTTTTTATATATATTAATACATGAAAGCATTAAATGCATGAAACATTTTTTCTTTTAACTTGAGATTTAAAAAAATTGTATTCAATTAAGAAATTAAGTTTATTTATTTATATTACCATTATTATTAACTAACAAATATTTGGAGTTATTATAAGTTTTTTAAGCTTCAAAATGATGGTTTTATAAGCTTTAGAATGGCAAAATTTTAGTTTAAAAATGACAGAACTTTTAACGTTTAGAATGACAAATTTTAAAGCTTTAAATGACATTATTTTAAGCTTTACAATAGCAGAAATGTTTAGCTTTAAATAGATATACTTTAACTTAAAGTGACGATTTTTAAGTGTAAAAAATGGAAAGGGCTTGACTTTAGCGAGTGAGAGTCTGTATTAGTGAGGTTCCTTTACCTCATTTGTTCAACTGGTATGAGCTAATGTCTGCTGGCCAATCAGGACACACATCCCCATCTTTGAAAAAAAAAATCACATTTCTATCATTTCTCCCTTCTTTGATTTCCCCACAACCTACAATTACAATAAGCAACATCTTCAATGCCATCAACTATTAAAATTAATCTAGATGAGAAAAAAAAATTGTTCAACAATCTACAAAAAAAACACACATTGAGATTAAACATTTTGCTTTGTTGGAGGATAGATGCACATATTGTGTTTTAAAGAAGAATTTTGCTTTGTTGGAGGATAGATGCACATACTGTGTTTTAAAGAAGAGACTGGGAAATGTAGCAAAACTAAAACAATTATAACCTAAATTTCTTTGTGACAATTTGTTAAATACCTTGTAGCTGTTACCGTCTCACCTCACAACCTCACTCCCACCTCAAACCTATCAAGATTGAAGAATTCATAATAAGACTCATGGAATAAGGTATAGAAAATATGAATGTAGGATGCTATAAAACACATTTATCCACATACCATACACATACAACTACATGGTTCTAACATAATTATCAACCTCGCATACAAATAAAGCTACATGGTTCTTTATTTCCACAAACACCATCCACATCACTTACCTGGTTCCATGTTTGGAACTAAAAATGTACTTAAGAAGAAACACTGAAAAGGTTTCTTATTATAATATGCATTTTTTGTGTAAAACATGAAAATCTTTCAATTTTGAGACTAAAATGACACATTTAATCAGATACTGCACGCTTAGACTATGATTTCAAAAGTGTGCATCTTTTAGATCATATAGATATTAAAGTAATTATATCTTTTGAATTTGTAACCTGGACCTTTAACATACAGGTTCATCACCACCCAATACAATCCTCTAGCCTGAAATTTATCAACATTTCTAATAAAAAAACTAAAAATACGTGATGATTACAACAATAAAAAAGTAGAATACAAATTTTAGGATGTTTTTAAAGGCTCCAACTTATTTTTCTATAGGTTGGAGATAGTCAAACATTTTTCTGGTCTTGACTTCTTTTGCTCATCAGGGGGCATAACCTTTTTCAATATGCAAATCGCGTTACAAAACCACACAAAATGATTAAAACAGATCTCAAAAACTGATAAAAGCATACAAAGCTGATAAAAGACTTATAACAAAACTACTTTAAAACTGAGAAAATAGATATCCTGATGTCTAATATGCTGCTACTTGTGTTAACATTGTAAAGCTGTCAGGAGAAGAATATAGAATCAATAACAAAAAACAATAATGAAGAAAAAAAGCTTTCTTACTATTATAAATCTGTGAGAAATTCCCGACACCGACTCTGATGAAGGTGTCTATTCCCAATCTTTGAATAAAGAAAAGACCAATGCTTTTAGTTTATCTTAATGCACAGAAGGGTTCAAATATCCCTAACTATTTATTGATCTTATATATACCAATTATATGTACCACCAGAAGAAGGAGATGATGATGATGGTGAAGTGCTCTTGAAGGTTGTGAGTTGCCGACAGTGATGGTTGGTTTTCAATGTCGTGGTGGCTAGGGTTTATGTGTTTTTTTGAAAGAAAAGAACTGAGTGGTGATTGTGACGGTGGATGGTGCACATGTTG